TATGACACTGTTCACAAGAGCAAAGACTTGGAAGCAACCCAAATGCCCATCAGTGACAGACTGGTCTGGCACATATACATGATGGAATACTATGCAGCCAGAAAAAAGGATGAGTTCATGTCCTTTGTAGGGACATGGATAAAGCTGGATATCATTATTCTCAGAAAACTGACACAAGAACACAAAAGCAAACACTACATGTTCTCACTTATAAGTGGGAATTGAACTATAAGAACACATGGACACAGGGAGGGGAATATCACACACCCGGGCCTGTTGAGGAGTTGGTGGCAAGGGGAGGGATAGCATTAGGAGAATTACCTAATGTAGATGATGTGGTGATGGAGGCAGCAAACTACCATAGCATGTGTATACCTATGTAACAAATCTGCACGTTCTGCACATGTACCTGACAACTTAATGTAAAATTAAAAGAAAAAATAAAAATAAATCATCTAATCCTCAGCAAAAAAAAAAAAATTGTAAACAAATTCAGCAGTGGAACAGTATAGAAAATCAACATACTAAATTCAGTAGCATTCCTTTAAAAATAAACTCAGAAAAAAGAAATTTCATTCACAATAGCTGCAAAAACAAAAACCACCTAGGAACAAATTTAACCAAAGAGGCCAAAAACCTGTATAATTAAATCCGTAAGAAAACTGATGACAAATTGAAAAATAAAAGCATAGATTAATGAAAAGACAAGTCTTCTTCATGGATTAGAAGAATTGATATTGTTAAAATGTCAATTTTATCTATAGTAATGCACAGATTCAATGCAATCCCTATCAAAATTATAGTGACTTTTTAATAGAAATTGTAACAGCATTTCTAAAATTTGTATGAATTCACGAAAACTCTGAAGTGCCAAAATAAACTTGCACACACAGAAAAGCTGGATCCGTCAAACTACCTGACTTCAAAATATGCTACATAGCTTTAGTAATCAAGCAGCATAGTATTTGTATAAAAACAGACACACAGACCAATAGAACACAATAGAGAGCCTAGAAATACATCTGTGCATTATGATCAAGTGACTTTTGACAATGGCGCCAAAAACAATGTGGAAAGAAAAATCTCTTCAATAAATGCTGTTAGAAAAACTGATTATTTTCATAAAGCAAAATGAAATTTGACCCTTATCTTATACTATATAAAAAACAATTCAAAATATATTAAAGACTTAAATCTAAGGCATAAAATTGTCATACTAGTAGAAGAAAACAGAGAAATATTTGATGACATTCATCTGGGCAATAATATTTTAAGTATGACCCAAAAGGCACAGGCAACAGAAGCAAAAGTAAATAAATGAGATAAGATTAAGCTAAAAGTCTTTTGTACAACAAAGAAAACAATGAACAAAGTGAAAAACCAACCAATGGAATGAAAGAAAATGTTTGCAAACCATTAACGTAATAAGGGATGAATATATAAAATACATAAGGAACTCAAACTACCTAATAATAACAAAAGAAACAATCCGATGAGGAAATGGGTAAAGGAACTGCATATACATTTTTCAAAAGAAGACATACAAATAGATGACAAGTACATGAAAAAATTCTCAACATCACTAGTCATCAGAGAAATGCAAATCAAAATTAAAACTGCACGTCACCTCACAGCTTATAAAATGCCTATTACCAAAATAACGAATGTTATCATTATGGTGAGGATGGAGAGAAAAGAGAACGCTTAAGCTCCAATTTATTTAATTTATAATAAATTATAAATTTAAATATATAAATGTTTCATATTCCTTTTTTCTATGAGAATAATTTCATTCAAATTATTTTGAAATTTATATAATTTATAAATGCCTGCTGCTTTGTAAGTACTTCATATATATTAAGCTTTAAAAACTTGAAACAAATTGCAATAATATTTTAAAGTACAATATTAGGAACACAGTAAAATTATTTGAATATAAAAGTAAACAAAAATATAGAAGAAAATCTTCATAACTTTGGGGTAAACAGTGATTACTTAGTGCAAAAGAGCACAAGATATTGAATAAAAATCTAGTAACTTGAATTTCTCAAAACTAAAACTTGAGCTCTTTAAAAACATTTCTAACATGCTAGGAATTTTCACTCTAAAATGTGAAAAGGCCAACCAAGACAGACGCTATATGCAATTCACACATTTGACAAAATAATTCTATCTAGAATATATAAAGAAACCTTTATATATTCTAAAAATAAAAACTCAACCCAATAAAACGTGTGAGTTATTTGTAAAGACACTTCATAAAAGAAAATATTTTAATGGGTAATAAACATGAAAGTTATTCAACACAATTAATTGTTGAGAAATGAAAATAAAATTATTATGTGGTGCCATTGCATAACCACTGACAAAGCTAAAATTTGAAAAAGGCAAAACAAAACAAACTACTTTTGATGAAAAAATAGAAAAATTATAACTCTAATGGTTACTGGCAGGAATGGAAAGTGGTACAACCATTTTGGAAAAAAAATTGGCAAGTTTTTATAAAATTAAATATACAGTTACTAAATAACTCAGTAAATATACTCTTCGGTATTTACTCCAAGTAAATGAAAGCCTGTGCCCACACATAGTCGTGTGCATAAATATTTTATAGCTTTATTCATAATCACCCCAAACTGGAAGTAACCCAAGTCCTCATGAACAGGTGAATTGTTAAAACACATTTTGGTATATCCATACAAAGGAATTCTACCCAGCAAAAAAATAAAAACAAACTCCTGATACATAAAGTAAATAATAACTCTGAAAAACATGCTGAATAAAAGAAGTCAGGTATAAGAAGGTGCATACTACCATGTTATTTCATTTATGACGTTCCAGAAAAGGGAAAACTAATCTATAGTGACAGACCACAGAGTAGTGGTTGACTGCGGCTGGGATTGATTGCAAACCTTTGCGGTCATATCCTGCTTGTGATAGTAGTGATGTTTTGACTTTTGTCAAAACTCATCCACTTAAGATGGGTACATATTATTTTATGTCAGTGTTACCTCAGTGAAAATTTTTGAAAATGTTTAAAAAATGTCATTTATGTAAAGCACAAGAATAAAGTTAAGTATTTCATGGGAAATGTTTCTAATATGCTAGGACTTAACAAAAATACAGCTCCAATGTTGATCTACTAAAAAAAAAAAGTTATTTGAAGCAAAACATTTATTACTGAGTAAGAAAGGAAAATTAGTCTTGAGGTTGAAATGTAAACTACAAGTTCTGGGGCTATGACATTTGATGAGGAAGTCCAGAAGACGTTGGAGACTGTGGGAATTAGCAATCCACACCTTATCATTAAGCAGGCCTGTAATGATCATCATGAAGGAAGGGGTCCTGGTGAGGGTATTTCTGGTTTAAAAGAACCTCAAGAATTAAAAAAGTATAAACCTCAGAGTGACAAGAACTTGGATTCTTAGTTTTAGATACTTTATGCTGTGACATATAGCACTTGATGTCTTTTAAAAACAGGTTAGTCATTTCTCTGTAAAATGTCTATTCCACTCCTTAAGGGTGTTGAAAGGTTAAAATAAAACAAAGAATAAGGTAAAATGTAATGTATACCTTGCCCTGATCACTGATACCAGGAAGTTACAAATGCAGCTACAAATGTCAAAAATGACAACGCATTTTATAAAAAGCCAGTATTTAATAACCTAGAATTAAACCACACTGTATATATTAAAGAAGGCCAAGGAACAGATGAGTGCATGAGTGTGGAAATTTGTATGGAGTAACAGTAGATTACATCTTTATCTTAAATAGGATGCTAGAATATCAGATCATGCCTCTCATAATTCTGGAAATACTATTTAAGATTTAAATATAAAAGTTGGTAGAATTAGAAATGGAATACATATGTTATCAAAACTCTGGCAAAAACAGGGCTGCGCAGGGTGGTGCACACCTGTGGCGCCAGCTACTTGGAAGGCTATGGTGGGAGGATGATTTAACCTTGGGAGGTCAAGGCTGCAGTGAACAGGGAGACTCTGTCTGAAAAACAAAAACCAAAAGACTCTGAAAATAAAAGCAAAGGTAGCCTAATCTCTCCCAGCCAAAAAAAAAAAAAAAAAAAAAAAAAAAAAAAAGGCAGATGAGAAGGAAATAGGAAATATATGGAAACACACAAATGAGAGAGTAAAACAAGATGAAGTTTGTAGGAACAAATTTATCAAATTACCAAATGAAAATGAGTTGATTTCTCCAATTACAGTGTATAATATTCACAATAAAACCAGGAAAACATTTGAAATTAAGAAATGACTTGTTTATTCTTCATTTTTTTAAGATGGAAATCATTCCATGTAAGATAGAAATCTTACAAAATGAAGACTGATAAAATAGATATTATATTTACACAACAGCAGTAAATGATGAAGAAGGCAGAGAAAAGAGAAGAGGAGAGAAATCATATGGGGTAGTTTGTCTAAAAAGTTTAGTAAGGAGATTGGCTCTGACCTTCTCAGGGAATTGCTACATTGTACTAGTTGCTTTTCCTTCCTCAATAGAAGATTCTTGGCAGAGAATATCATGCATTGTCGAAGACCTGTTTTATATATATAATATATAATATATAATATATATATATGATATTATATATTATATATATTATACATATATACAGAAGTGTATATGTCAGTGTGTCTGTGTGTACTTCTGATGGAGCATTTTCATACACCCATGGAAGAAGAGAGTAGAGCTTCTGACAACCACAAAAGGATATTACTGAAGTAAGCATCAGGTAAAGCAGTTTCTAATTACAGAAAACACACCCTAGATCTTCTGCTGTGCACTGGGAAAGACATATGGAAAATGCTGAGCATTGTCTTGCACTCTAACAGTTTACAATTTAATTGTTGAGACAGATTGTTCACGTATGTAAAAGAAGCAGGTAAGTAGGCAAAAAACGAGATAAAATATATAAAAAGTTTGGAAAGGGAGTAATCAGTGTAGCCTGCTGTCCTTAAGACTATCTATCTTCATAAAAACAGGAAGTTTGGAATATGGTCATGGACGCTTAACAGGCTTTAGAGAGAAAAACGAGTGAAAAGAAATAAGAAACCAGAAGGGCAGAAAGGAGCAACGTACAAGGGGATGGCAGAGACAAGAGCAGCATTCAAGCATGAGACTTGGACTAATTTACAAGAGAGACTGTGGAGCAAAAAAGGTAAAGCTTAGCATATGTTAACTGAGAGTTACGTATCTGCATCTCAGAAGTATGTGTGTGGGATTGTATGTATGCGCGTATATATGCACATATATAAAATGTGCACCCTGAAGTTAGTTTTTTATAAAGGTGTATCTATTGACAATAATATCTCTAACTTCAGTACTTTGGTACGTAAAATGGAATAAAGATTAAGATCTATATACTAATATGTAGCTTTGTGTGACTCTGAGGGTTGTTTCATCAACATCAACCAAACTGCACTGCACAGAAGTAATATCAAAATTTTCTAGACATAAGAGAAACTCTAAATAAAATTTGTACATTGTAAGCTAGTGATATATAAACTATGAAAATGATTTTTTGAACTTAGTAAATAAGTAGAAAGCTACATATAGGCTTCACATGGATTATTGAGAGCTAGATTTTTAAGAATCTGTCTCAACTGTAGCAAATATTCAGTAGGTTCTCATTATCCTTACACAATTTTGGAAGTAGCCTAGAGGCTCTCTGCAATTGCCAAGCCCATAAAAACAAATGAGTGCTCCTCAGACCATAAGTATTCTGTCTTTAAATAAAATGTCATTTTTTTCAGCATATGTCTGAGGAACCAGTGAACCTGGAATCATTTTTGATGTTCCAGTCATCTTAAATTAATTTTCTACCATGCCAGAGAAGGAAAATCCAAATACTTATTTTATATAACTTTGTGTATTTATAAGAATGTTCATCCATGTGCTTTTAATTCATTTACATTTATATCATCAAATATTAGTTTTATGAACTTTTGATGTAGAACCAATTTTAGCTGCCTTCTCAATAAGGTATGTTTTAATGCCTTTCCCTTTCAAGAATAGCAAGACTTGCTTTGCCAAAGACAAATAAATTCACATATACAAAGCTTCGGATTTTATCTGTAACTCAAATCTCACATGATTTGCATATCTAGAATTACCTCCCTTTCCTGGTACCCACATAACTGAAACTAACCAGAGTCTCAAAATACTCCTGCCAGATGCTAAACAACCAAATGGATTCGGCAATAGCCATTGAATAAAAGTTCCAGGAAAAAAAAATACGGAGCTCTTCAAAAATATTAGCAAAGGCTTGAGTGAAAATAGAATTTCTCCTCACTGTTTAGAACATCTAAGTGTAATTATACCTAGGCAGATTTTAGGAGGTAACTTTATTCTGTCTGAAATGTTAAATAATTAAAGATAAACTTCAAATAATTCCAGGTTTCTTTAGTGTCACAGAATAGAATCTTCCTGGGACATATTGGATTTGTTTATTTATATAGTATCATCAAGCTCTATCTCTTTGAAGTGGCATAGTTTTCCCATTTATTGCCTGTTGAGTAAGGTAGGAGAATATTTACATGAGTTAAAAACATTTTCATTTTATGCAATTCAAAAAATTTCTCTAGATCTACTGGCATCTCCTAGGACTTAATCAACAAAAACTCTATGTTTATTATTTTTGTGATATTCACTTTAATTTTAACCTTTTGGGTTTGTTTTATATAGTGAACAACGTTACAGTAACCATGTGAATATATGGAAAAGATAAACAAATGAATACTAGTTCAATTTTGGAAAATAAAAAGATTTTCAACAAGTTCTTTGCCAAAATTCTATTGCCAAAGGCTAGTTAAAAATGATATATTAAGGAACTGGGGGAAATCTATTTTCATAATGAGGGAAATACCTTAGTCATTTAAAAAATGTAGGGATAAAATAGCTTTTCTGAATGACAAACTACGTGAACTAATATTCCTTAGGGAAATAATTTGTTATCTCCTTTATATCATACAAGGGACAGCAAAGATCTCATGTTTAAAAAGACATGTATATCTTCCGTGTAAACAATTGAAGAAGGAATTGGAAGTATCAACGTGTGGTGAAACATTTGTAAGTGTAATACCGAGAATTTAGGTATAACTCATTTCATTTTTAGATATGAATTGCGCAGTACCTAATGATAGAGGAATTTACAAATACGTTGTACCAGCCTATTTTCTGAAGGCATTAGCTGTACACTAAGAGACGAGGATAATCTGGAAACATAAGAAACCAAAGAGGAAATATTAACCACTTTGCTCCTTTTGTGTCCCTCCAGTAAAGCTGCAAATTAATAATAGCTGATATATGTTGAATACCTGCTATATGCCAGACACTCATTTAAACATATTACAAGTGTTATTTAGTGAACATTTTTGAGACAGATACTATTATCCAATATTACAAATAAGGAAAACAAGACACATAGGGATTGATTAACTTGTATGTGGTGACACAGCCTGTCAATTAAAATGTGCAATCTAAACTTGAAAATCTTGATTTCAGATCACGCCTTCTAACTATTGGTTTGTACTGCATCTTCACACAGTCACATTTTATTCACATGTGGGACATTTGTCCTAAATATCACAGGTATGTCAACCAAGCTTAGTAAAGTTTTTGAGAAAAAAAGTGAAAGGGCTAAAATATTTCAAATTGGGAACAAGTATAATAATCCAGAATAACTTGAAAACAGAATAAAATATAAGTAGAAGATAGGAAGGTTGGAATATACATCCACATATTCAATATTTCCAGTGAAATGTTACCTTTCTTATGAGCCTGGTCCAGGAATGAACTTTAATTATGCCAAGCCAGGCTGGACTCAGGGCAATTCTACCTTGTTTATTCTGTTGGATAGCTGCTAATGTAGAGTGTCATCAGAAAATTCCCAAATTAAAATGTAAGGAAAAAATGATTTTTTAAAAAGGAAAACAGTATCCAAGAATCGTGGGATAATTACACAGGCATAACATACATGCAATGGGAAATACCAGAAGATAAAACTACTGAGTAAAAATTTTCCAAAATTAATGACCTTTACTAAACCATGAATTCCTGAAGCTCAGAAAACTATCTTATGAATCAGAATAAATATCAAAGGATCTAGATGTAGGCATAACATATTGAAGCTTCGGAAGTTCAAAGAAGAATAATAAATCTTAAAAATTTTCATTAAATCCTTAGCTAAAGAGAAACAACAGTAAGAATTATATTGGGATTTCTCTTCAGAAAGTGTGTAAAAAAACCTTTGGAATAAAATAATTAAAGTGTTAATAAAAACAAAACCACTAACTTGGAATTCTGTATCCCAGAAAATGATTCTTCAAAAGTGAAAGAAATAAAGACTTTATCAGACAAACAAATATTGGGAAAATTTGTCATCAGTAGACCTGCTTTGTAAGAAATGTTAAGAGATGTGGTTCATAGAGAAGAAAAATGAGGTAGGTAGGAAGCTTGGATTTATATAAAGATAATAAAACCTTTAGAGAGAAAATACATTAAGGTAAAATAGAATCTTTTATATTTTCCAATTCTCAATTGATCTAACAGTAAGAGTTTGTTCAAAATAATAACAAAAATATATTCAGTGATTACAATTTATGGACAAGTGAAATAAACAATGCCAATGTTATTCAGGATGGGAGAGAGGAATTGGGTTTATATTCTGTTACAATGTACTTGCGCTAACCATAAGCAGTGTACTGTTAGGAGAAAGTGGAATTAGATTTGTTATAAATGTATATGGCAAACCTTAGGATAATCACTAAAAAAATGGAAAAAAATATATTTGATAGGCTAAGAGGAAAGAGAAAATGGAATAATATAAAATGCTTAAATTCAGAAAAGGCAAAAAAAGAGTAGAAAGCAAAAAGAAAGAGCAAGGGTAACAAATAGAAAACAATCACAAGTATGGTTGATGTTAATCCAACTATATTGACAGCCACTTTATGTTGTGAATAGCAGAAACATAACAATTAAAAGAGACTGGCCATCAATCTATCAATATTGTCAGAGATGATTAAAAACAAAATCTGATTAATTGTTTAATAGAAACCCATGTTAAATATTTAAAAAGACAGATGAAAAGAAAAGGGATAAAGGTATATCATGCTAACAATAATCAAAAGAAAGCCGAAGTAGCTATATTAATTCCAGATAGATAAGACTTCACAACAAGAAAAATGATTGAAGATAAAAATAAAAATAATACTATAAGAATCAATTTTCCAATAAGGTATAACTTTCCTTGATGTAAATTTGCCTGTCTTTGGTCCGGTTTTCATTGCTACAACAGAATACTGTAGAATGGGTAATTTATAAAGAAAAAGTTTATTTGGCTTTTAATTCCAAAGGCTGAGAAGTCCAAGAGCTTGGCATTGACATGTACATGGCATTTGGTGAGGGACTTTTTGCTGCATCAAAAGTTGGCAAAATAGTGGAAGGCACAAGGGCAAGAGCAAGACAGCCACAAAGAACTCTTTTTAAATAACAAAGTCATTCTCGTGATAAAAAAAAAAAAAAAAAAAAAAACCACTCCCATAATGATGTTATTAATCTGTTGATGAGAACTGTGCCCTCATGATCCAATCACCTAGCATTAGGCCCCACTTCCCAATACTGCCGAGTAGGAAACTGATATAGTTTGGATCTGTGTCTTTGCTCAAATTTCATGTTGAATTGTGTTCCCTGGTGGTGGTGATGGGGCCTGGTGGAAAGTGTTTGGATCATAGCGACAGTTTCTAACGGTTTAATACCACTGTCCTTGGTGCTGTCATCTCTATAGTGAATTCTCATGAGATCTGGATGTTTAATAATGTGTGGAACCTCCCCAACTTCTCTTGCTCTTGCCACATAAGACATGTCTACTTCCCCTTCACTTTCCATCATGACTGAAAGTTTCATGAAGCCTGCCCAGAAGCTGAACAGATGCCTCTATGCTTTCTGTACAGTCTGCGGAACCATGAGCCAGTTAAAACTCTTTTCTTCTTTGTAAATTACCCAATCTTTGGTATTTCTTTATAGCAATGTGAGAACTGAATTATACAAGGACCAAGTTTCAACATGAGTTTTAGAGCGGCAAACACTTAAACCATAGCAACTTCACAACACAGCATCAAAATATACGAGGCAGGAAATGATAGGACTGCAAGGAGAAATAGGTACATCCACTATAATAGAGAGTTCAACACATCTCTATTAGTAATTGACAGAT